GATCAACTATCTCACTAAATATTAGCTGCACGTCTCGAGGAGTCCCTTCTTCAAATATCTGTTGCAAAAACCGGCATCTATGCTGATCCTTCGCTATGTGATATATATATCCTTGAGAATCTGTCAAGGAGCTACACTTTGATGGCAAGGAGAAAGGGCAATGCATTTTTGCAGTCCGACCACTTTCTTGAACACCAGTGATTTCTTGAGCCTTACTGGTGCCACTGTCATGCATGAAACCTATAGTATTTTTTACCTTGGGACGACCACATCCTCTGTTAAATGCATTATTTATACCATCCCCTTGAAGGATCAAACTGTCCTCTCCGGCAAAAGCTTCAACGCCCCCTTTGAGGCACTCTAAAACGGGAACATAATCTATTTCTTCCATTAGGCACGGGTTGCTGATAATGGAGTAAATTTTCCACATTAAATTGAGGTATTAGATGAGCCTATTGAAACATGTAGGTTGAATGAAATAGATCTCTGTCTTTGATCTGATTCGTCCCATTTTGCGAAGCATAATTCGAAGAATCAACAAATGAAAGCCTTTTTAAAGTGGAAGGTGGCTTTGATGTTGAAATCCCCATGGGAAAATAATTTCCAGCCGGTGCATTATTATTGTAAAATTGAGGACTTTTATCTGAATTCCCACATTCTGTTCGAGCAAATAATCCTTCAGATCTAATTCGGGCTATTTGGATTGCTTACATTTGTTAAACAGCAATAGTATGTCTCCTGATAACTGACAATAGAACTACATTAATACATAATTTATATTTGCTGGAAGAAAAAATGTATTTATCTATATATTATATTGTTATATATTACAAGAAGAAGGATTGGTTTAAGATTTTATCGATTTTCTTTTTTCGTTTCTCATTTTAGGATCATTGTCAGCTTCAATCGTGCTGTATTTAAACCACAATTTCTTTTAATCATGTCGGCAGGTACTAAGCAATTTTATTTTTTAGTTTGTTATGTTTTTAGATGTAGTTTTCTAATTTTATTTTTTATACAGAAAGCTGACCATATAGGCTATTTGCATTATTTTTACATTCTTTTCATTTAGTCTGCTGATTTTTCCTAGGGTACAAGTTCCGTATGATTTTTGGATTTTTCCATGCCGAGGAAGTCTGCAACCTTAGGAACTTCATTATCTCCTTGTGGATCAATCAAATTCCAAGCTGCAAAATTGATCAAGAAACGGTTAATTAGCGCGTGTTGAAGATATACATATGTTGTGAAATCGAGAAATGTATGATCATAAAAAGGACTTACCTTTGATTATGAAATGGAGTGTTAATGTTATCATTCGCCAACCCTGAAGAAAACTGATGAGACTGAGCTGTTTGCAGGTGGGGTGTTAAAGAAGAGTGAGGGGAGAAAGACTTGACAATCAAAATCTTAGTATTAATTTTAATTAGGTTTTATGTTATTTCATCTGAATTTTTTTTTTGTAATTGTTCCTCTTTTTGTCTATAGATGAAAATCTAGCTGGGTTTGTTTCCGTTTACGTCGATCTAAGGTATGGTGTTCTTGATTCTGTACCTATTGGAGGAAATGATATTATTACTGTGGTTTTGAAGGCTCATTTGCACTGTGATGGTTGTGCTTCCAAATTCCTAAAATGCATTCGCTCTTTGACGGTACAAATACAATATTTTCTTCTCAAATCTCACTTTTTGAAATAAAATTTTTATAATAATTTCTGTGTTTTCATCCTTGTTTTCTCTATTTTATCATGGTATTCTTTTAGATTCTGGGTTTTATTTGTACCTAAATTTGTATGAAATGTTTTTTTCTTTTATTTACTGGGTTTACAATGTGTTCTTCTCAATTTCGTTATG